GTAGATGCTTTTTATCCATAGGTTCAACATTACGGAAATGAATTTGCTTAAAAGATGCTTATTCAACTCCAAATCACAAAAGGCCTATGATGGGATGTGTAAATATACTAAGTAATTAATCCCAAATTGTATACAGATAACACTTTATGTGGAATGAGTTGTCTACAGTAAAATACATTCAGTTATTTACCTTATCAAAAGGGAATAGATATTACATAAACATAGACTATGGCTCTCAGAAGCCCTTTGAAAAATAGAAACATCTTTAAGGTAAATGTTGAATAATTTGCATGCATTTCAAGACATGCACTACACACTGGTTTTAATCTCAGATTAAATAACAAACTGAAGTAAATTGAGTTTCCCAAGGCAAAATAGTTCAGAAATTACTCTCCACTAAAATAATTGATTGCACTAAAATTCTATTCCTTAAAATAAAAACATTAACCTCACAAATTAATAGATTTATATCTTTGTTTCACAAGCTTTTTACCTTCATCTCATTATTCCCATATCATTCTGGAAGAATGAGATACTTCAGAGACTTAATCATATACATGTGACAAGTTTCAAGTGATAATTTAACTCTTGCTTAGGATGTGCAATGACAAATTCAGATAGAAAACAATAAGATCTTTCCTACTTGCGGTTTATTATAGTAATGCAGATATTTTCATATTTAGAATAAATGGATTTGGTATTGCAATAACAAAACTTTGACTGCATGCCTGTCCTGTTAATAGAGATTTGCTTTGAAAGGAAAAGCAGGAACATGGTTATTACAGCATCAAAACTGGTCCTACTGGTCTAAGCCTAAGGGCACAGAGTGACTCAACATAGGTATATCAGGATAAAGAATCTTAGCTCTGTTTGATTTCAGGTTATAGTAAAGTTTATCAAACAGCCAATTATATAACAAAGTTCCACCTCATTTACAGAATACCATTGCCAGGCTCAGGATTAACCAGGTGGAAAACATTCCTGTTCAAAAGGAATTAACACAATGGCAAAACTGAGTCAAGAAGATCCTACCTTCAGCCGTGCCAAGGTCATCCTATTCCCAGGCACAGTCATCCATCTGCAGCAGTTCTCAGATTGCACTTCCTCTGAGCAACACGTGGCATCTCCCTTTAATGGCAGACAATGCAAACAATCATGCCTGAAATCAAAACTTAGAATAATACCAGCTTACAGTCCCATAATTTCACTAATCATAGCTTAGCAGTAAGTTATACTTCTCTCATGGTATTGCAATAATAAAGATTTACCAGGCCTTTAATTTTTTTTCATTCAATGTCCTTTCTTCCTTTTTTTTCTTTTCCCTCTTCTTCTTGAGTTAAAACTTATCCTGAAGTAAAAAATCTGCCATTAGAAATCAAGAAAATAATTACATCCTAGAATTTTGCAAAGATAATGAATGTATGATGGTTTAGACAGGAACTGTCTTTTGTCTCTTTTTGTATCCTAAGAGTTTAGCACAGTGCCTGGAACATAGTAGATGCGTAATAAATGTTTTTTTGATTGATTGACTGCAAAGTGAAATCTCAGAGTTGTTTTTATGTGCATTTCTCTTATTACTAGTGACTTGGGACATTCTTTCATGTGGTTATGAATACTTTGCAGTTCTTTTGAGAACTATTTGTTTATTTTTTTGACCATTTATATATTGGGAAATAGTTAAGTAGTCTTTTTTTTTCTTCCCAAGGCAATCAGGGTTTAGTGACTTATCCAGGACCATATAGCTAATAAGTGTCAAGTGTCTGAGACTGGATTTGAAATCAGGTCCTCCTGACTCCAGGGCCAGTGCTCTAAGTAGTATTACATAAATATTTCAATTATTTATGTATCTTGGATATCAAAATCTTATTAGAGAAATTTAATATAAAGATTTTTTTTCCTATTCTATTGCTTCATTTCTTATCCTAGGTACATTAATTTTGTCTGTGCAGAAGCTTTTCAGTTTCAAGTAAAGTTATCTTTACTTTGAAGTTTTCTTTTGTAATTGCTTTTATGCCTTGTTTAGTTAAAAGTACATCCCCCCCCATAGCTGTGATAGGTATATGATCTGTTTTTCTTATCAACTTCTTTACAGTATAATCTTTATTGTGGAAGTGATATAAGGAGTTGGTCTAAGCATAATTTCTGCCAGACAGCTTTCCAATTTTCCCAGCAAATTTTTTTTTTGTCAAATAAGGATTTTTTTTCCTATAGTTTATATTTTCTACTTTATCAAAGCCTGAGTTATCAAGTTCTTTTTTTTCTGGTTCTCCCTTGTCTCATTTGTTGCATTGATCTATCTCTTTTTTAACCAATACCAGATAGTTTTAATGACTGCTGTTTATAATGTAGTTTGAGACCTAAAAGTGCTATTTCTTTTCATCCCTATTTATTTTCACCATTTCCCTTGATACTCTAGATCTTTCATTTTTCCAAATCAATTTTGTTTTTATTTTGTCAAGTTCTATAAAGTATTTTCTTGCTAATTTGATTGGTATGGCATTAAAGTCTAGGTTACGTTTAGTCATATTGTCATTTTTGTTATAATGGCATAGCCCAGTCATGAGCACTGAATGTTATTCCAGTTATCTAACTTTTTCTTTGTTTCTTTAAGGATTACTTTGTAATTGAATCTCTACAAGTTTTTTATGTGCTTTGGTAGCTTGATCTCTAGATATTTTATGAATTTAATAGCTATTTGGAATGTGATTTCCTTTTCTGTTATTGTCTCTTTGTTTTGTTTTTATTACATAGGCATTTTTTTATTTTTGAGGATTTATTTTGTAGCCTGCAATTTTGCTGAAGCTATTAATTGTCTCAAATTAGCATTTTTGCTGATTCCGTAAGATTTTCCAAGTATACTATCATATCATCCACAAACAAGGATAGTTTTTGCTCCTTTTTATCTATATTTATGACTTTGATTTGTTTCTCTCATGTCACTGCTATTGTTAGTATTTCTAGAACTAAATCAAATAATAGTGAGAAGAGGGGGCATCCTAGCTTTACTCCTGTATTTATTTGGAAAAGTTCTAGTGTTTCCTCATTGCATATAATGTTCACTTGTGGTTAGAAAGATGTTTTCTTGTTATAATAAAAAAAAAGCTGCTCTACAACCATACTCTGTAAGATTTTTAGCATAAAAGAGTTTTGTACTTTCTTGAAGGCTTTTTCTGCATCTCTTGAGATGATCATGTGGTTTTGGATGTTTTGGTTTCAAATGTTATTATTAATTACATTTATTATTATTATTATTTTTACTTTTGAATCATCCTTGCAGCATTGGTATGTCCACTTTGTCATAATGGTTGAATTCTTAGATAAATCACTATAGTTTATTTAACAAAATTTTATTTAAATTTTTAGTCAACATTCATTAGTAATATTGACCTATAGTTTCTTTCCCTGGTTTAGGTATTAGGATTATATTTATCACATAAAATGATTCTAGGAGAGTGCTTTCTTTTTCAATTTTTTGAAAATAAATTTTTGAAGTTATGGGTACTAATTGTTCTTTAAAAATTTTATTGAATTCTCCTGTGAATCCATCAAGACTCAGAGGTTTTTTTTTTCTCCCTTTGGTAGTTCCTTTACAGCTAAATCTAATTCCTTGTTTGCAAATGGGAACTAGAAAGAAGGAGGGGAGAGTAAAACTGTAAGGTTGGGTTTTGTTATAAATCTGTCTTTGTGTTTACTAGTGCAGCCTCCTTGCTGGTATGATAGGAAGTGGTGGAGGGGTTCCTGAGTGAATTCAGGGTCAGTGAATGTCAGTCCATTTTTTTTAATCTTCTTTTGGATTTTGGGTATCCTGAATCATGGAAGATAGCTAAAGTTTTTTTTTTTTCAGTCAAAGACAAGGTTTATTAAAGATCTGCCATATTAGTCAGACTCCTGAGGAATCTGAGAGTCTGTGAGGTTTTGGCTAGATTCTAAGAATCAGAGCAGTGGCCAGATTTTAGGAATCTGAGCAGTGGCTAGATTTTAAGAATCTAAGCACCTTAATGGAGACAAGATAGACCTTATATACAGAAAGACTGTGGGAGGGATCTAGGAGTGGCCAAGTAGTTTGAGGTGACTGGAAGAGGGGTCTAAGGAGATCTGGATGGGAATGGTCAGTAAGCTGGGGTGAACAGAACTCCTGGGACGTGGACCAAGTGGCCAAGGGAGAATGGAGACTAGTTAGAATTAAGGGTGGGAAATGGCCAAGGGCCATAGGAAACAGAGTTTGGGTGTAGCCACAATGAAAGGCTAATTGATGGGATTATAACCTCAGGTGAATGCTAGAGATTATACCATGTGAGAAAGTCCAGGGTTTTTCCTTTCTGGGGCCCAGATCCCAAACCCATCATTCCCCCCCCCTCAAACAAATGGGACCCAAATTCTTTTGGCATAAGGGGCAAAGGTCTTGGCTTCTGAAACTGCTTCCTTCTGGCAAGGGGCATAGAGCTGTCTCTGCCTCGAGGGAGTCCCAAAGAGAAGGTTGACTGGAACAGAGCACAGGCTGCATCCAGGGAATGGTAGGGGGACATTGGCTGGTACTTGCTGTTTGCTGCCAACTGTAGGTGAATGACCTATATTCTGGAAGACACAAATCTGACAGAAAAGATTGCAGGGCCCATACATGACAAGATGAAAGATCCTTAGCTCTGCTTGGATTCAGATAATTCAGTTTTTCAACCATGCAATATCAAATCCACCTCATAGCCAGGCTCAGGAATAGCCAGGTGGGTAACATTCCTTTTCAAAGAAACATAATGGGGAAACTGAAACCAGGAGGATCCCATCTTAGACTGAGGTTAAAATTGTCATCTCAGCTTTTCCTGATGCTGATTTCCACCAGTATCACATTCTGAGTAACTTGTGGCATTTCTCTCAGATGGATTATTGATTATTGATCAATTATGACCCATAGACAACTCAAAATAAAACCCTATAAGCTTTTACCTCAAACAGCAAGTTTTACTAATCACAGCTTAGGAAAAACTTTTCCAGGATTTACATCTAAAAACATGAAATGTTTCATGAATTTGCATGACATCCTTGCACAGGGGCCATGCTAGTCTTCTCTCTTTCATTCCAATTTTAGCATATGTGCTGCCAAAGTAAGCACTAAAGTTGTTTTATCTTTGGTACATAATTTCTGTTTTAGAGAAGTTTTATAGATCTTGGGGTTCAGAGAAAATGTCTGTTCTTCCATTTTGCTACTAACATGATCTGGAATCCCAGAGCTAAGTACTTAAACAATCTTTCTGGAAATTGTAGTGACAACTGATTGTTTTTATTTTCATACTTTGCATTTCATCCATTTTTTGAAAATATTCATGCCAAGTTTGTTGAAGATCTTACTGTAATATTGCTGGCTAGTCAACTGAATGGGTAGTATGCTTCATCATTAGTCTCTTACGATTGTCTTAGATCATAGTATTGCTAAGTATAGCTATCATTCACAGTTCTCCATGGAACAATATTGCTCTTTCTGTGTATAACATTATTTTGGGTATGTTCAATTCACTATGCATCAGTCTTTCCAGGTTTTCCTGAAATCACCCTGCTTGTTATTTTTTACAGCACAATAACATTCCATTACAATAATATACCATAGCTTGTTTAGCCATTCCCCAATTGATGGGTACTCCTTTGATTTCCAATTCTTAGGCACCACAAAAATGCTGCTATAGATATTTTTGCACAAATAGACCCTTTCCCCTTTTTTTGGATGTATTTGGGATGTAGACCTATCAGTGCTATTGTTGAATAAAAGAATATGCACAGTTTTATAGCCCATAGGCCATGGTTCCAAATTGCTCTCCAGAAAGGTTGAATCAGTTTATCACTCCACCAACAGTACATTAGTGTCCCAGTTTTCCCACATCCCCCCCAACACCCAACATTTTCCTTTTTGGTCATATTAACCACTCTGATAGGTATGAGGTGGTACCTCAGAGTTGTTTCAATTTGCATTTCTCTGATCAATAGTGATCTAGAACATTTTTTCATATGACTATAGATAACTTTGATTTCTTTGTCTAAAACTGCCTGTTCATATCCTTTGACTATTTATCAATTGGAGAATAACTTGTATTTTTATACATTTGACTCATTTTTCTATATGTTTGAGAAATGAGGCTTTTATCAAAGATACTTTTTTGCAAATTTCCCTCTCAGTTTATTACTTTCTTTATAATTTTGGTTCCATTGGTTTTGTTTGTGCAAAAACTTTTCAATTTTATATAATCAAAATTATCTATTTTACATTTTGTAATGCTCTTTGTATCTTCTTTGGTCCTAAATTCTTCTCTTATCCATAAATATGACAGGTAAACTATTCCATGCTCTCCTAATTTGCTTATGGCATCACCCTTTATGTGTAAATCATATACCCATTCTGACCTTATTTTGGCATTTGGTTTGAGATATTGCTCTATAACTAGTTCCTGCCATACTGCTTTTCAGTTTTCCCAGCAGTTTTTCTCAAATAATGAGTTTTGTTCTGAAAGCTTGGATCTTTGGGTTTATCATATACTAGATTACTATGATAATTTACTATCATGTGATGTGTACCTAATCTATTTCACTTAGCCAGTACCAGATTGTTTTGATAATTACCACTTTACAATATAGTTTGAGATCTGGTACATCTAGACCACCTTCTTTCGCATTTTGTTTTTCATGGATTCCCTTGATATCTTTGAGATTTTGTTCTTCCAGATGAATTTTGTTATCATTTTTTCTAGCTCTGTAAAATACATTTTTAATGCTTTGATTGGTATGGCCCTGACTAAATAGATTAATCTGAGTAGAATTGTCATTTTATTTATATTGGCTCAGCCTACCCATGAGCAATTAATATTTTCCCAATTGTTTATATCTGACTTCATGTGAAAAATGTTTTAGAGTTTTGTTCATATAGTTCCTGGGTTTGTCATAGCAGGCAGACTCCCAAGTATTTTATATTATCTACAGTTATTTTAAAAACAATTTCTCTTTCTATTTGTTGGTAATATATAGAAATGCTTATGATTTGATGATTTATGTGGGTTTATTGTGTATTCTGCAACTTTGCTAAAATTATTAATGATTTCAAGTAGCTTTTTAGTTGATTCTCTAGGATTTTCTAAGTATAACATCATATCATCTTCATAGAGTAATGGTTTTTGTTTCCTTATTGCCAGTTCTAATTACTTTAATTTCTTTTTCTTTTCTTATTGCTATAGCTAACATTGCTAATATAATATTAAATAATAGAGGTGATAATGGACATCCTTGCTTCACCCCTGATTGTAATGGGAAAGCTCCTAGCTTATCCCCATTACAGATAATGCTTTCTGATGGTTTTAGATAAATATTACTTATCATTTTAACATAATCTCCATTTACTTATCATATTACTTATCATTTTAACAAAATTTCCATTTATTTCTATGCTTTGTATTATTTTAATAGGAATGGGTGCTGTATATTGTCAAAGGCTTTTTCTGCATCTATTGAGGTAATCATATGATTTCTGTCAATTATGTTGATAGTTTTCCTAATATTGAACCAGACCTTCATTCTTGATATAAATCCCACCTGGTCATAGTGTATGACCCTTGTGATATATTGCTATAATCTCTTTGCTAGTATTTTATTTAAGGTTTTTGCATCTATATTCATTAGAGAAATTGGTCTATTATTTTCTTTGTTTTGGCTTTCCCTGATTTGGGTAGCAGCACCATATTTTTGTCATGAAAGGAGTTTGGTAGAACTCCTTCACTTATTTTTATAAATAGTTTATATAGTATTGAGATTAATGGTTCTTTAAATGCTTGGTAAAATTCATTTGTGCATCCATCTGGTCCTGGTAATTTTTCTTAGGAAGTTTATTGATGGTTTGTTGAATTTCTTTTTCTAAGATTGGGTTATTAAAATATTTTATTTCTTCTATTAATCTGGGTAATTTATAATTTTGTAAATATTTGTCCATTTCATTTAGATTGTCAAACTAATTGGTATATAATTGGGTAAAATAGCTCCTAAAAATTGTCTTAATTTCCTCCACATTGGTGATGAGTTCACCACTTTCACCATTTTTGATACTAGTTATTTGATTTTCTTCTTTCTTTTTTTAAAATAAAATTAGCCAATGGCTTATCTATTTTATTATTTTGAGTTTTTTTTTCATAAAACCAGCTTCTAGTTTTATGTGTTAGTTCAATGTTTTTCTAACTTTCAATTTTATTAATCTCTCCTTTGGTTTTCAGTATTTCCAATATGGTGCTTAATTGGTGTTTTTTAATTTCTTCTTTTTCTAGTTTTTTTTTTTAGTTGCATATACAATTCATTGATCTGCTTTTTCTCTATTTTATTGATATAAGCAATTAGAGATATAAAATTTCCTCTAAGTACTGCTTTGGCTGCATCTCATAAATTTTGATATATTGTCTCATTTCTGCCCTTTTCTTTAATGAAATTATCTATTGTTTCTATGATTTGTTCTTTGACCCACTTTTTTTTTTTTAAGATTCGATTATTTAATTTCCAACTAATTTTAAATCTTTTTCCCATGGTCCATTATTGAATGTAGTTTTTATTGCAGTATGATCTGAAAAGGATGCATTTATTATTTCTGCTTTTCTGCATTTGTTTGTGAGGATTTTATGTTCTAATACATGGTTAATTTTTGTGTAGGTGTCATATACTGCTATGTTATCATAGTTATGATAACTAACTGTATTTGCCTCCATGCTAGTTTTCCCCTTGTTTATCACCCCTTTTCTCTTACCTTCCACCCTTTCTCTCCTCACAAATGTTTTATACTGATCACTATGTTTCCCAATATATACTCCCATTTAACAGTCCCCCCTCCTCCTTCTATTATTTATTTTTTACTTTTTAAATTTTGTTTCATTGTATCTTGATGTCTCCTAGAGTCATTAGTTTCCACTTGTTCAATTTTAATTTTTAAGTAACTATTTTTTTCAGTGAGCTTTTGTACTTCCTTTTTCATTTGGCCAGTTCTAGTTTTAAATAGATGATTTTTCTATTTTTAGATAGATGAGTTATTTTCCTCGGTAAACTTTTGTATATCTTTTCCCATGTTATTGACTCTTTTTTCATGAATCTCTTGCATTGTTCTCATTTCTTTTCCCAATTTTCCCCCTACTTCTGTAATTTGCTTTTATTTCTTTTTTTTAAATTTTTAGGCAATTGGGGTTAAGTGACTTGCCCAGGGTCTCATAGCTAGTAAGTGTCAAGTGTTTGTTTGGTCTGAGGTCAGCTTTGAACTCAGGTCCTCCTGATTTCAGGGCCGGTGCTCTATCCACTGTGCCACCTAGCTGCCCTTTGTAATTTGCTTTTAAAATCTTTTTTAAACTCTTCCAGAAATTTGTTTGTGGGCCTGAGACCAAATTACATTTTTCTTTGAGGCTTCACATGTAGTTATTTTGACACTACTGTCCTCATATAAGTTTATGCCTTAATCCTCCCTATCATCATACTAACTTTTTATAGTCAAGCTCCTTTTTTGTTTTTGTTTTTTGCTCGTTTTCTCTGCCTTTTTTTGGTGACTTGTGTTTATATGTGAGAGTTGGGCTCTGGTTCTGCACTGTCCCAAGCTTTTTGTGCTGGGATTCTAGGTCTTACTGTTGACTTTTACTGGGCTTCAGAAGTTAACTGCTTGCTCTCTCTGGAGGGTAGGCTTCCCTTATGGCTTGTACTAGGTATTTGTGGGGGTCCATCACTGACTTCCCTTGGGTGTGGAGTTTAGCTACTGGCCTGCTCCAGGGGTGGGGCTTTGCTGCTGGGTTGGAATGGAAACAGGGTCTCTGTGCTGGTAGGTCCCAGGGGTGGAGTCTTGCTGTTGGCCAGTCCTGGGGCAGAGCTTCCCTATTGGTCAGCAATGGGGTCAGGGTCTAGTTGGTGGCTTGTACTGCAGATGGGTTGGGACCTCGCTGTGTTGCACAACTCCCAGAAATTTATCCATGAATTCTCCTTTGAGAGTTTTTCAATTTTAGATGTAGTTTATAGATATCTTTTTGTTTTTACATTATCTTCATAAGCTCCCTCCTTCCAGAAAAAAAATCTTATAGAACAAAGTAAAATAAGTTTTGCTAGGACATAAGGTTGTTGTTG